TCATCATTTGCATGCATCTTAGAAAGGCTTGAGTTTGAGTGACTATAAAATGTTTATTCAAGGTGGGACATATGAATGTCTCCTAACCTTTAACCTACTGAACTTCACTCTGAAAGATGTTAGTGGCTAAGAATGGTGTAATGTATAAGAATGAAAATATTTCTCAACAACTTCTCATTCTTCTTCTTACCATTCCCTGCCATGCAAAAGCGATCATGTTTATACAGCTATTATATCATCTTTAATTTGCCAGGACACATCCTAATTAAACATAGGGCAAAGAGTGCTAGCTCAGTGAAAATTCCCCCTGATTTCAATGAGAGTTTTGCCCAGGCAAGGACATCAGAAGTTGGTCCATAATTTATATTTTATCATTACAAAATAAAAAGGGAGACTGGTTATATTAGCAGAAAGGGAAGAGGTTATAGTAAGAACAAAAAGCAGCTCTGGCACCTCATGTTTTAGGTTATGTCTATACTAGAGTGGGAAGGTGCAAATTCCAGCTCCAGGAGACATATCTGCACTAGCTCTAGTATGCTAAAAATAGAAGTGTAACTGCAGTGGCACAAAGAGTTGGAGGACTTGGCTGTCCTGAGTACAACCCTGTCTGAGACCACAGGTACACTTGGGTGGCTATGGTTCTATTTTTGCCATGCTAGCTAGTGTAGCTATGGCTCCTTGAGCTGGAAGTTCTACCACCTGTTCGACTGTAGACATACTCTTAGACTTCTATTGCATAAATCAGCTTGCAGCCCAGCAGTATGGTACTAACAGCTCTTCTGACTGATACCTGGGTACTAGTGAGCAGGCACAGCAGCTAGCAGGAAGAACAGCTGCATTCCTGTAAGCAGGGCCTTTTTAAACTTCCAGTAACACCTCTCCTGGGTTCATACAAGCTCTCAAGTTCACCCATCTTAAGAAGAGTAACCCGATTGACTCCCCTCCTCAAGTACAATTATTCCCACCTCAGCAAGTATCCATGTGTCCTGCCCGAGAGGAGCCACCAGCGTGGCAACCTCTATATTCCCTTGTCACAAGTGCAACATTTAAAGAATAAAACATGGGTTACTGCAGGACCAGAACCAACAGTTCCCATGCTACTGCTGCTGTTCCTATCTCTGGCCTCCCCACAGGTGGCAGGTGGCTTGCCCCTCCACAACGTCTTTAGTTGGGATGCAGAAAGTCTTAAGCACGAAGTGGTGAAATACTGTAGAAGCTAGATGAGACTCTTACTTGGTAAACTGCACACCAAATGGCACAGTAAAGAGAGAATGAACCTCTGGTAGGGAAATATTCAAGCATGAACAACTGATCTTTTCTTCAGCCAGTCAGAATTCCCCCATGTACTGTCTGCATAGCTGGACAGTCTTAAAATTAGACTGCTGGGTAATCTTAAATTCTAAATGGCTGCTCAGGGCTTAATGGTGTATGGTATAAAGCCATTTCATTGTGTAACAATGCAGCAATAGCTGGTCACTGCTCTTAAAACTTCCTATAAATTCCAGCTGTGAAGATGTGATCCGTTCTTTTATTTATACACAAAGGGGAATTTTCATATGTTTGTATTTAACTTTTGCATGCAACTTGCTGTATGTGCCCTTTTAAATCCTGCCACACACAGCTCAGTGTTCGCATACAGCTTTCATTTGAATCCAAAGGTGACATCTTCGGTTTTAAGTGGTCTCTATATATTTTTCATACATTAATCCCATATTGGGCCCGATCCTGTAGTCTAGAATGTAGGCAAAATTCCTGTTGGCTTCAGTGGGGAGGTTAGCCTGAACAAAGACTGCAGCACTGGGATAATTTTGTAACAAGTCCTAATGAAGCTACTTTTAGCAGTGCAGTGTCCTGCTGCCTCCCCACTGCTGGAGCCTTTCCCCACCACCGTGAAAGACTCTGGCAGTGGCGAAAGGCTTTGGTAGGGAGGCAATAGGGAAAGGCTCCAGCACTCCAAGGAGCTGAGCCTTTCCCCATTGCCTCCCCCCGGCAGTGCCTTTCACTGACATGTGTAGCTACATGCTGCAATGTGGATGCAGCTTGTTTTTCGCTGCGGTTTGTAGCTCTACATACCATTCATGTTGTTGCAAGTCGTGTCTCATTAGCTGCTTCCCACAGTTCACTTGATGATTTTCTGAGCTAAATTATGTATGACTGTTTTCACATGTAAATTTATTTAATCAGTTCTGAGCATTTCCAGGTGTTGTGTTTTTAGGAGGACTTTAAAGATTATTCGTTGTTTAGTTAAAAGGTATACTATTATTATTAAATCAACAAATACATCCCCAAATTGTAACATTTTATTTCCTTAACCTTTTAAATCACGTCAACAAAGTAATATTTTAGAAGAATAAATCCATTGTTATTAATGAAGTAGGAATGCAAACACCCTATTTTCATAGGATTATAGCAATTCTCCTTGGTGGGACTTGAAGATGCTTTTGTCTGTGAGCAGTTGAGCTTTAAGTTAATTTTTTTAATCCTGCAACCCTAACTCAGACAAATCTTCCATTTCAATACAAGTTTTATTTGAGTTAGGCCAGCAGAATCAGACCTATAATGTACCAGATTTAAAATGTCCATCACAATCTCATGGTTTTATATGTAGAATAACTATACTGGAACATCTAATGTTAGCACAGGCACTTAGGGTGGACATAGATACTTTTAGAGGAAAAGTGGATATGAGTACATGTTTCAACTCAGCTTCACATATTTGATCAAGTGTAAAAGACTGGGATAAGTTATTCTGTATATCTCATCCTAAAGAAAAGAAAACAGTGATGTGGCATTTCCAGTTAGAAGCATCTTCATAATAAGGTTTATTATTACACCAATTCCTAACTTTTAGCAGAGATTATACATTTTACGTGCAGTATTTCACAAATGGTTCATATGTATTGTACTAGCAAAACAGAAGCAAAATTACAACAGATTTATTTTGAAGGAGGAAACCATAATTGAAGGAAGAAGAACATTATAGGCAAGATATTAACTTTTTCTAATGAAAAAGTAGTATATTCTTAGTACTATATAAAGTATATTTCAAATATATTGGAAATAAATATAAAAACACTTTTTTCTAAATATCTTATGTCATATGTAAGGCAGTAATAATAATGAAAGAAAAATTTAAAAGACCATACAGGTCACATACTTTTATGATGCAAAACAAGTTTACTAAACTTAACCTTCTGTATAGGACCCTAGTGTTAGGACATATAGGTAAGCTTCTTAAGTATTTATCTTTATCCAACAAAAGTTAAAAATCCTCTAACCTTATATTATTCGTAAACTAAAGTATATGAACATTTTCATCAAAAAACTATATATTGAAATGTCTTTTTTTAAAAGAAATGATGTAACAGATATTTAACTGTATGAAGGACTATTTTTGTTTACAGTTCCTGTTACAAAAAACTATTTGACAGAAAAGGATTCAAGAATTTTGGCAAAAGAGACCATTAAGAATTTGTTTTAAATGTTCTCTAAGTAAGATGATACCCTACTTTTCATCTCATAAAAGACCCAGTTCTGTAAGGCATCAAGTGCCCCCTGGTTCAAAGCAGTACATTAAATCTAAGGTGACAGGTTTCAGAGTAACAGCCGTGTTAGTCTGTATTCGCAAAAAGAAAAGGAGTACTTGTGGCAACTTAGAGACTAACCAATTTATTTGAGCATAAGCTTTCGTGAGCTACAGCTCACTTCATCGGATGCATACTGTGGAAAGTGTAGAAGATTTTTTTATATACACAGAAAGCATGAAAAAATACCTCCTCCCACCCCACTCTCCTGCTGGTAATAGCTTATCTAAAGTGATCATTCTCCTTACAATGTGTATGATAATCAAGTTGGGCCATTTCCAGCACAAATCCAGGTTTTCTCACCCCTCCCCCCACCACCACACACACAAACCCACTCTCCTGCTGGTAATAGCTTATCTAAAGTGACCACTCTCCTTACAATGTGTATGATAATCAAGGTGGGCCATTTCCAGCACAAATCCAGGGTTTAACAAGAACGTCTGAGGAAGGGGGGGGGGGGGGATAGGAAAAAACAAGGGGAAATAGGTTACCTTGCATAATGACTTAGCCACTCCCAGTCTCTATGCAAGCCTAAGTTAATTGTATCAAATTTGCAAATGAACTCCAATTCAACAGTTTCTCTCTGGAGTCTGGATTTGAAGTTTTTTTGTTGTAATATCACAACTTTCATGTCTGTAATCGCGTGACCAGAGAGATTGAAGATTAAATCTAAGGTAATGAGTGCTCAGGCCAACAAGAATAAGTAATTAACTGGCTTTCTAAGAGGAAGAGTTCACATGGATCATGTATCAAACCATCACACTATTTTACAGCTTAATTGGTCTCTTTGAAACTGTTTAACTCAATGGAAAAACTCCCATTGACTCAAATGGGCTTTGGATCAGTTCACTGTGCACAAGATAAAAAATATAAGTTTTCACATTTTGCTGATAAAATAGTCTGAACTGAGTTTTATGGTGCAGGAATATGATGATGTTAGGTGTCATGTATAGCTTTGTTTTTCCTCTCCTAAAATTATACAGTAGGAATTGTAATTTTCTTTCACAGCCATTAGAAGGCATTAAAAGAATGCTGATAAAGAAAAATGTTAGTCTGTAAAACACAGAAACACAGTCCATCAGCAGGGATGAGGGTTTGCATTAATATATTTCTGTAAGTAGAGATGGGTAAAGTAAACAAGCAATAATTTTGGTTCTGATCCTGCTTCCAATTGAAGTCAATGGCAAAACTCAAACTTACTTCAATGGGAGCAGAACTGGACCTTGGATTTATTTCTTACTAGAAGCACATGTCTTGTGTGTTATATTTCAGTTAAAATGCCTTGAATCGATATTGATGATGTTGATAACCTTGCAGAGAATTCAAAAGAAGCAATTGGAGGTGATTTAGAAACTCAATTCCTATTAAGTCATGTGCTGATCATTTCTTTAGGTAAAATATAACAATACTACTTACTCTTCGTCCTTTAGATCCCTGTGGTCCTGGAGGTCCTCTTGGCCCTGAAGGACCCTAAGTATTACATCAAGTCATTATTTAATATCCACTACAGAAATACGTCCAGAAGTGACAAGAGGTCTATATTATAGACTACATATAAATTCTCATAGTAGTTCAATATAGGCTGAAAAAAAATCAAGCATTCTCTCTTTCTAAAAGCTCAGAATCAACCAAATTACTTTAGTACAACTTATCCAATAAAATATGCTTAGTATTGGCTTTGTGCCATTAGTATTGGCTTTGTGCTGGGTAAGAAATAATGTGGACTGTGCCTTTCTCTAGCAGCTATTCACATAAATTATAAGAACCTACTACTTTCTCTAGCAGCTATTCACATAAATTATAAGAACCTACTACTGCTACCAGCTCCTTTGGCTCAAGTGGTAGAAACTTGTGTTTTAGGGTGCTACAAGACTCATTTGCTATCCCTGCTGGTGACCCATGGTGGAGAGTGTAACACAGGCAAATGAGGAAGATCCCATTTGTTTTTGATTAATAGTAAACACATCATGCATACTATTATTTGATTTTAATTAAATATCAGCAAAATAAAATTAAAATGGCTACACTTTAAATCAGCCTTGAAAAATTCTAGCTCTGGGCAAGTCAAAAATATAGGTAAAGGGCAGGTGAACAGTATTTGTGCCTGGCTAGTATATTTTCATGACAGTTCTGCAAATAGCCTTAACAGTAACAGAACAAAAGAGTGATTTTTAAACAGACTGCATTTTATGTTAAATCAAAATGTTGGTCTATACTTACAGGCAATCCTTGTGGCCCTAAAGGCCCAAAGCCCCCTGGAGGTCCTGGATAGCCCTAAAATGGAAGTAGATATAGAAAAGGGATTGAATAATTCTGATCTTAATTTGCTGAACTCAAAATTGCAATTTTGGCAGGTAATGGCATTTAAAATAATCCCCCCAAAAGCTGATTATATCATCTTCAGAGTATTCGAAAGAGCAATCCACTCTCCAAGGTCACAAGATATGAATGTGCATCAACAAAAGAGCTTTTACGAACAAAACCAGATTTTCAAATTTCTAAAACAGCCAAAAGATTTCCACCCCATCCCAAAGATAATCCAGTCTGGCAACTCTGATTTGGTGAGTGCCTAGGACACAGCAAAATTATAGTTCTCCTGGATACATGTTGCCAGAGCCAAAAACAGAAAAACTTTACAGTGCCACAATCCAGAACTGGATACATACATTTCAAAGAAGTAATTTAAATTTGGGATGTGTCCCAATTCCAAAGAACTTGTTTGCCATCCATTATCTTCCAACCAGGACTGTGCATAGTGGTGTGAACAGGTGATCATGGTAGACAAGTGTCAGTGGTATTTTGTGTGAATAGGACTGGCAAGGAAAAATTATTTTGCAGGCCCACCCAAGATTGCGAACTCCAGCTCTGGTCCATAATGTAACGGCATGTTACATTTACTGCAAACACTTACCACCCGGCATAGCACTTTCTACCATGACTTGAGTGGGACTACTCACAGTAGTATGCACTATGGCTGATAGTAAAGTGTTAACAGGATTGTGTCCTATACTAATAAATCCTTGTTTATTCAGTTCCTGGCTGAGATCTGTTCCTGAGTGTAAAGTGGTAGATAGAAAGTGAATCCAGTCAAGACAGATTTAATGTTGGTAGGAAGAGTGAAGTGCTTCAGAGAATATCATCCCCTTCCTACAGACTGATCTGGAGCCTAGAGGTCTGCTCGGACTCTTCTCTGCTAATGCACACCTAAAGAGCAACTGCTGCAAAAAAATGTCCATTCTATTGGCTAGAAAACACATCACACCCTATCAGTCTCAGGCCTAGTGATCTGTGTGTTTGTGATTTCCAGCTTGACTACTGAAACTCACTATATCTAGGAATGAAGCCATACCTTCAACTGGTACCAAATGCATCACTCTACTAGGACAATGGTTACAAAATACATCAGCCCACCCACACATCACCCCAGGGCTCTACTCTGTGCATTGGCTTCCCTACCGAATAAAAAGAGCTAGCTTCAAGGTCCTTGGTCTTGCTAGTCAAATCCATCCCTGGAACTGAACCAAGCTACCTGAGAGACTGCCTCGCCCTCCTGCTCATGACCTCCCACAGCAGCTATCATTAAATATAATAATGATGCTGTGAGCAACAAGAGTTTTGTCTTGTTAGAAAAAGAACATTAAAACGAGAGAGGGAAAAATCATGTAACAATGTAACCACCAGTAGACCCAGTATAGGCCCCCCAACTCCAGGAGAGGATCCCTGGCTCTGAATCCCAAGTGGAAATAGGTGCCTCTCTCAGGGTGTGTCGATGCTGCACGTTTCTTTCATCAGCATGTTGTACATCCCCGTGAAACCTCCCTAGCACTGGTACAAATAGCAGGGTCAATGGTGAGGCACAGCTTAGGTGAGTGAAGACATGCCGGAAGGGGCTGAGTATGTAAACAAGTACATCCCCCATGGCTCTCTATTCACCCAAGCCATGCCTCTCTGCCTACACTCCTATTTTTAGCAGTGTAGCGTCCCACTGCCTCCCTGCTGCTGGAGCTTTTCTCCAGTCTGGCAGCCAGGAAAAGACTCCAGCAGCTCCCTGTTGCAGGGAAAGACTCTGGCAGTGGGGAATGGTTCTGGCTGTGGGGAGCTCCTGGAACCTTTCAATGTTGCGTCCCCTCTGCCAGAGCCTTTCATTGACATGTGTAGCTACATACCACAGTGTGGATGTGGTATGTTTTTCATTGAGGGAGGTAGCTACATGCAGTGATGAGCTGCCAAAAGCTGAAATACCGGTTCCTTCAGTCGCTCCGGGTCTGAAGGATCTGCCGCTGAAGTGCTGCCAAAGACCCGGAGCGAGTGAAGGTCCCGCCGCCAAAGTGCCGCTGAAGACCCCGAGTGCCGCCGGGTGAGTAAAAATTAAAAAGAGACTCTCAGGGGAGCCTCCCCAGCTGAGAGCTCAGGCGGGCCGGACAGGACAGTCCCGTGGGCCGGATGTGGCCTGCGGGCTGGAGTTTGCCCATCCCATTAACAACCGGTTCTAAACCGGCTTCAAAATTTAACAACCGGTTCACACGAACCAGTGCAAACCGGCTCCAGCTCACCACTGGCTACATGTACGCTATATGCCACTGCCAGTTATGTGTGAAGTGTAGTCATAGTCTCAAAGTCACTCAAATACCCTTCTCCTTGGCATTTCCTATTGGCTTCTGTCAATCCCTTTTTCAGGTGCCTAATTCTCCCCATGCAGTGTACAGAAAGCCTGGCCAACTACCAGGGTTGTGAATTCTACAAGGCAGCAGAGCATCTAAAAGTCAGGCATTGCAACACCTGTGAATCCAGCCCTTAGTCTTAGAAAGTAGTTTCTCTCTCAGCAAACATAATCTGCAGACTAAGTTTACTTTTCCTTGTTTTTTGTCATGCTTGCTAATTCACTGGGCTTCAATCCTGCACATAAATCTGATGAGAGAGCCGTTTTTTAAAAAGTGGGTAATTCATATTCACTGCATGCTGCTTCAGTCTGCAAAGTACTTAGCAAGCTGCTAAATGGAAACTTTCCTAGAAACAACATATCACAAATGCTTTACTTTTCCATAAGGCTTCTTGCTCTTGGCATGGCCAAAATGAATTAGGTTTTTGGGAAGGAAAAGTTCCTTTACAAGTAAAATAAAGCTGACTTGTACCTCATTTACTGCTTACCATGACACCTTTCTCCCCAGGAGGGCCCACTGGTCCTGGACTGCCCCGCTCTCCCTTTAACAAACAATTTAAAAAAAGAGAAGAAACAAATTTATGGTGTGTTATTTCACTGGCACAGTTCTCTTTCCACAGTGTAAGGATTTCTTACTGTGGCAGGGGTGTCTGGCTATTAGGGGTTAATGAGGCTAAGTGCCACAACTGTGTAGGAGTATGTCTACAATGGACCTGGAAGATGTGATCTCCAGCTTGAGAAGACATACCTGTGCAAGCTCTGATTGAGCCAGCGTTCTAAAAATAGGCATGTAGCTGCGACACCGGAGGGGCTAGCTGCAGCAACTACGTTTCTACTTTTGGTGCGCTAGCTTGAGGAGAGCTAGAGCGGGTATGTCACCTTGAACTGGAAATTACAAGGCCCAAAGGGGACTTCTGGTTGGTCTAGAGCCACTCCAGACCCTGGAGGCTCCAGTATACTGGGGACTTGTGACCCTCTAGCACATAATACTGTAGGCAGCACGAGGAGGAGGAGGTCCAGCATAAGGAATACAGGCATCATGGGAATATTTCAGTTCTGCCCCACAAAGGTAAAGTTGGAAGGCCCTCTGCTCATGATGTCTGGAGCCTTCAGCCCCGGAGGTCCCTGTAACACATGAGCTGCAGGCAGAGGAGGGCAGGAGCAGAGATCAGGCTTCTGTGGGGCTATTTCAAAGCACAGGTACTGCTCCTTACTGCCACTACTCCTACTGTTTTGGACTTAGCACCAAGTAGGAAGGGGGAGGGTTTAAACTTCTGAGCCTGCTGGTGGTGGACATTAGGTAGGTAAAAAGTTCAGAACCTGCAAGTTGTTTTCATGAACCTGAAGGATTGTGTGTGGGATCCTCTGAGATAATGAGAGTGATTTTGAGCTCTAGAGAGGTTAGGTAGGAAGAAAAGTGGTTATCAGCCTGGAGGGACACATGTGCATTCACACGCACGCATGTGGGAGGTGTTTCTGACCATGTGGGGGTTTGGCTGTAGGAAGAGGAGGCGGCCTAGGAACTTTCTGAGCTCAGAGGATGATGTGTGGGCAAGTTGAGTTCAGGTGGGAATGGAGTCATCTGATGAATAGGGAAGTACGTGAACAGATGTAAGAGACGGGGACAAGTCAGTAGTGGGGAGATAGATGGGGAGTGCTAGATTAGGAGATAACAATGAAGGGGGAATAGAGGAATAAATATGGTTTTCTCCCACTGTAGCCTTTACTATAAAGTGTCCCATTTCCTCAAAGGGAAGTGGGAGAGGGCACCTCTTTTTCCCCCCACTTCCCCACCAACCTTTCTTATCCCCCCAGCACAACACCTTCCTGTGATCCCCCAAATGCAACCACAGTGTCCCAGTTTTTTTGTTTTGAAAATAAAATCAAACTACAAGTTACTTTTTCCCTTCCATTTACTAGGTGGCTTACAGGAAAGAGATTCAGAAAGCTAACTGGGCTATACAACCCACTGGCAGCAGGGACGTGCCTTGCATGGGGGTATGTCACATTCCTAGCTACCTACATTCTTTATGCATCCATGAGTTATCTATAACCGTAACAAATAAACAAGAGAAAAAAAACTTCACATTTCCCTCTATTTTTTAATAACACGTACATATGGGCAAGTCAAGCCCCCACCTCAGCATCAACTGCCACTGCCATTTGTCTAGCTCCCTGGCTAGAAGGGGAGGAGGGTTTTTTCCTCACCTCTTATACCCTGACTCCTCTTCTATCCTAATAACATCCAGCCCAGCTACTAGGCCTGGCTGAGGATTAATCTCGGCTGCTAAAATACAGCTCTTGAAAATAACAAATGATTCCTTTATGTTATAAAGAGAGGCACCGGGTACATCACATTACAGTGCACCACTAATCATGAAGAGACAAGTATCCAGTGAAGTCATGGAAACTGTCAATCTGTCATTAAGCAATTTGCTTCCATTTGCTGACAGATTTGCTACATTTCCTCTCCTATTTTAAACCAGCAACTGAAGTAAGTTTGTAAGTATATGAAGAGCAAACAAAATGACAAGATCTCCTTCAATACTGTATTCTAGGCATGCAGTTATGATTAAAGCCTTATAAAACTTATCCATATTTAAGATTTGACAACCAGTGCTTTCATTTAATGTATTTCCTTTTCCTTGTAATATAAACCAACAGTAAAAATATCACCATATTTTCATGGAAGTTATAATAAATTCATAGAGTAAGATTTTGTCAGTAGCATTCTTTTGAATTCCAGCCACCAAAGTTGGTGAACTAATTCAATCCTGCAGGATTAAAATATGAATGGTGCTAGATCATTCTGACAAATAATTATGTGTTTTTTATAATTGAAACTGACATTCAGTCAAGTAATAGCTGTTTTTATCTTTTTGTTAAAGTAGAACTTGTCTAATATTCTTAGACTTACATTATGCTAATAATATTAACACTGCCAAACATTACATTCACAAACACATCTGAGTGTCATATAGGAGAGGAAACTGTAATTATGTGCATTTATTGACTTAGCTTCATTTAAAAACTGGCACAGAAATTTTACTAATGCTTATTGCCAAATTATCGTGTTCTGCTTTTATCTCTCTCCACAGCGAAGTGAAAAATGGCCACCCAATTAAAACAAATACTGATCATGTCACATTCTCAGACTGAAACCAATGAAATAGATAGGAAGGCAAGCCCTCGGGCACAAACAATATCTCTGCCCACTCCAGTAAATTCACAAGCTCCAATTTCATTATAAATAAAGGCAAACGAACCACGTGCTGGTCACTGGTATTGGATTTGTGTTGCATTTGATTACATCCCTATGTGTTAAAATGCATACTGACATATTAGTTAGGTCACAATGATCACTAAATAATCTATCATCAATGTATGGTTTCTATAAGCGATTTATACTGCTGTTCAGACTGAGGTGTTAGAAGTTACCTTTTCACCAGGGATTCCAGCAGGTCCAATTTCTCCAGGTAAACCAATGGGTCCCTACATGAAAAAACAAATGGATTTTATTTGTATGATGCCCATGCCACTTTGTGGTTTTGCATCTGCCAACAAACAAAGGGCAGATTGTGGAGCCCTTTTTCAACCTGGTGAGTCACCTACTCACAAGAGTAGACCCGGTGGTTTGCAAAGGACTGTTTATGTGAGTCAGAGTTCGTCCATGTGAGTAAGTGTTGTACAGCCTAGCCCATAGGACTTCAGGGGCAGATAATTAATACTAATTCCCAACCTTCCCCTTTCTGGTCGTCTCGCCACAGCATTACAGAGCTTTTCCTAATATATCATTTTCTCTGTTGAGCAGACATCTCTGGTAGTAGCTTCTGCTGACGATATGCAGTTGGGGCTAGATTGTGGCCTGTGGGAGGCACCTCCTGTACTCAGATCCAGATGCAATCAAGGGATGTTGGAAGAAGGGGAAATATTATTTAATTATTATTTAACTTTTATGTTGTGGTAGTGTACCCCACACACCTCCTGGGTGTGGTGTTCTGTCCCATTTAGTGGCACCGAGACCACTTAGAGAGAGATTAATGAGTCTGCTCTACAGGCATATGGGTTTTAGCTCATGCAGTAGAGGCTCATGCATTTAGCACCAGAGGTCCCAGGTTTGATCCTGCCCGCCAACAACCAGGGTCTGTTGGTGTTACAGTAGCACCAAAATGCGACCACGAGGCTGGGCCTCATTGTGCCAGGTGCTCTATCAACATATAACTAGCAATGCTAATCGCTTTCCCAGTGCTTTAGTCCTAGCCACAAATTTCTAGGAAGCTATAAATTCATCAAAGAATATCCTCGATGTCACTGGAACGCAGCCCGGGCAAAACAAAAATACTATTGGATTGAGGTAATACTTATTGTCTCCTGAGCTTGCTAGGAATGGAACACCCATTGAAGTCATGGGGAGTTTTGGCTGAGAAAGACACAGGATCAGATCTTTTCCTAAGAAAATAGCTCTCTTATGACCCTCTCCTACGAATTTCCACCAGTATTGTACAGGCTGTAACAAAAGATCTATATGGAGGGGTTCTTCACAGGGGTATTCCACTAATAAAAGATAGGTCCTTTTGGAACTATTCCACTCTCAGTGGCTTCAGTCCGCTCCCACTGAAGCCAATGGTAACACTCCACAGGCGGAGAGTCAGGCCAATGCCGGGTACTTTTCAAAAAACTCACCCACAACACCATGTAACACACTGCCACCACAACATTCCAAATAAATTAACAATTAAATAAAACATCTACATCTTTGTAGCATTTAGATCATTGTAATTCTAGGCCCTGAAACTCTAGGCCCTGATTCAGTAAGGTACTTAATGATGTGCTTAACTTTAAGTAAGCCTGTGTGTAGCCCAATTCACTTCAAATGCCTACCGTTAGGCAGGTCCCTAAGTACCTTGCTGAATTGAGCCCTAAATGCAGAAAACAAGGAAATTTAGAGCGAGGCCTGTTTTCCAACATACAGTTAAAACAGGACAACCCCTTTGACTAGTATCCTGATATTGATAGTGGAGGGCAGCCTTAGCTTTTTTTTTCTTTTTGCTCATCTTATTTAGCAGGTGCTGTTTTTCTGTAGTCCACTTGGCCAAATTTTAATTAAAGCTGCAATTTTTTTCCATACAGTATTTCATACTCTCTGCGACAGGTACTAAGGCAATGAATAACATAAATAAATTGGCTTATTTTTTAGGGATTTATTTTATTTCAAAATATATTGATAGGTTTCAATGTCCATTTTAGATATGACCATGATGAGATGAAATGTTGAGGGGCAAGGGTCCATATAAAGGCAGATAGACAGATGTCAAAAGAGATAATGGAAGCTAAGCAGCTACAATATCTGAAACCATATGGCGAAATGGTGCCACTTGCATGATTATTTATTTTTAATTTTATACATATATATGTTGTTCAGTGAAGTTATGCTGCCTTTTTTCTGAATCTCTCTAAAATGGATATATAATTGAAAATTACTGAGTTTCCTCCCAGCTTCAAAAGACTTGGATGATTGACATTTCTTCTCTTGAGGCTGTTGTTAAAGCTTTTGGGCTCCCTCTGAACTCTTTCTTTCTTTCTTTTTCTTTCTTTTTTTTTTTTTTTTTAAAGAAAACGGAGTCTTAACAAAGGGAGGGGAAAAGGCATAAGGGTAAGCAGACATATCTGTTCAGTGCAGAGTTTAAAGCAGTCTGTTGACAGTGTTTGAAAAATACCTTCCATGAAAGGCTTGTACAGTTTGCCTAGGAAAAAATGAAAACATCTCCAATGGAAGAAAATGTCCTTTCTGTAATCTGTAACGTAATTACAAACTCTCATTTGAATAGACCTGTAATCATTAATCCTACTGCATATGCCTCCCCTATATAGCCCACACATTGTTTTACTTTTGCTAGCACTACCTCAGAAATCTACCATCCTGGGGACATATTCTTTCAATTTGAACTGCCTCCAGTTTCTACGGTAGAAGGAGACTTTGAAAACGAGGCACTATGTAAACAAATGAGAGTCAAATTATAGAGGAAAAGGCAGTTCTTTATATTGAACAACAGAAAATACCTTTTTATGTTCATTTTTAACCATTCTTTCATACCAACAGGAACACATACAGGAGAACACCAAACCCTGTCAGCAAGACATCTTGTTAAAATGGATATGTTTTTTCAGTTTGTACATAGTAACAGCAGTTTATATACCAAGTGGAAAATTCTGGCTCCACTGAAATTAATGGGAGCTTTGCCACTGACATGAGTGAGTTCACCCCAGACATATAAACTCCATCTGACCATTAAAATCAATGGGACTTCTCATGGGAGTAACTCCTCACCAATGGAAGTCAGAGGTTCACAATCTGGCCCAGTCTAATAGCTCTTAATTATGACAGAGACTACAAAAACAACAAACCAATTACACCTACAGCCAATTTGTTTAAGGAAGTCTTAATGCTTTGAGGCAGTTTAGCGGCTCTGGGATTTGTGTTCTGAACATTACATTCACAGCCTGGACTGAGAGTAGGGACTGAATTGTGAAGAGCACACAGTCATGTTCTGAGAGACAACTCCTTAACTAGTGTAAACTGTCACAGCTTCAGGGATTTAAACAAAATGGAGCTAGGATAGTTTAGTCCAGCTGAGTATCTGCCCCTGAATGTATTACAGGTAAGAAATAATCTTTATTCCTGTTGAGTGCATTTATTTTATTCTGAGAACACCTAATAGAATCATAGCTAGAAGCTACGTGGAGCTGTGTTCATTTGAAAGAGTTACTTTCCCTGTAATGAGAGTTAGAAGAGATATTTCAGGTACTTTTAATTTTACAGGAACACTCCATGGCTAGGTGGAAAACTGGAAGTGCCCACACTCAAGGTTGGTTAGTGACTGCAGCCAGTTACTTCCAAGCAGGAGTAATGAACATGGGCTCCTTCTGGGACATGAAAGCTGTGGAGAGGGTGGAAGAAACAACAACGGGAGCGATAGGAAAAGAAAAGAAACAGTCAGTATAGAGAAGCTGTGAATGCCTTGGGAAAGGAAAGCACATTCACGATCCCAATTTTGAGCTATTTGATGAAGTGAAAAACATTAATGCACATTCAGTATTTTACTAAATATAACAAATAATAACACATCCAAATGTATGATTAATGTATTTTTATAGCAGTAAGGAAATTGCAAAACAGCATGTAGACATGGCAAAAATGATGTATGAATGCTGTCCCTTTGCTACACATATTGGCTGTCCCAGCTGTGTATTGGCATAATGATGCCTTTTGCTTCTGTAAATAGTTATCAGTAAATGCTTGACTCAACTCCTTCAGTTCCACCTTGTCTTCTGAGGATGTTGCAAGTTTTTTTTTCAAAAAGAAAATGCACAGAGCTGGTGGTCCCAGCTACGTTCTTGGAGGCAGCAGATTTTCAATAGCACAAATCAGAGTTAGGGATCCAATCCCAATGACTTTCAATGGGAGCTGGGAGCCTAATTGCCCTTTGGTGCTTAGGAGATTGAGAGTTATGGTTCAGAGTGTTTCCTTGATTGTAACTCTTTTTGGATCTTGTTAATAAACATGTGGAAGTTTTTGGCTGTTGTCTCTTTTTGGTAAGGTGCAAAACAACTCCTGTAAGCCACCTTTACTACATTCACAAGATATTTCTTCCAAGAGTTTCCAACTGGAAAATCATGCAAATGGACCACAACCAGTCAGCAGCTATGTGCACCCAGGTTTTGAACACATTAAAGCATCATGAGGATACCTCTAATTACTATTAAATTCTGGAAGAAAACTGCTTTAGGGAGTCAGTGCAATTGTAAAACAAGTATTGTTGGAAACATGTTCTCAATTTCCTTGCTACCCTGAAGATCTGGATTAGCATGGGGTTAGCAAAAGTGGAACATTTAAAAAAAATGGTGAGTGAAGAAATAGCAAAAGGCACCTGGAATACATCATATAAGTGATCGTGAAATATGCAGTGTTGTTGTAGCCATGTTGGTCCCTGGACTGACACTGCTTGTGAAGTCTGGCAGAAATATGAAAGTTACTAGTAATGTAGTAATATTCAACTGTGTTATGTCTGTAACACATTAAATCAGATTATGTGTATAAGATTCAGAAGTTGGCAACTGCTATCTCTACATACATAGGAATATAACCAAGTTTAATTAGCAGTAAGCAACTTTAACTAGCACTTAAACAGGTTTTTGTTTTTCAAGAGCAAAAATATTCATACACACCAGACAGCTGTTACTCCTTTTATGATTTAATTATTATTTTATTTCAGTCTATCAAAATCATTGCTCAATAGATTTATACTGGCGACAAAACAACAATTCAGGGATTTCTGCCTTTAAACATGCTCTGTTTATATATATATATATATATATATGTTCAATAAAATCCACAATCAAGGCCACTAGAAAACAGCAGGTGTAAAATCACTGCTAGATTTTGTGATTTGTACTCTGCTCCCTATTTTCCTGAAATTTGAGCTGTATTAGAA